TGAATAGACAGAATGCAGGTGGTACTAGATTGCTTTTTTTCTTCCAGTCATCTTTTCCTGCTGGACCTAGAGTGACTGAAAATGTCAATATGCCTTATGAATATTTTTCCTTGAACATTTTCTTTGAACTGCCAAGTGGCCTCGAAACTATCAATAAGGATTTTATTTAGTGACATTTAATATTTAATTACAGAAAAGTATTTCACTGTCATTTTTTTTTACCCTTCTCTCCTCAAAAAAGTACAAGTAGCGGAACATGGGCAGAAAACAGAGCAGCTCTGGGCTTTCATCATGCTATATAAAGGAAGTAATTATATTCCAGTAGACACATTTTCTTATATTTGCAGCAAGAATGCTTAATTATCTCTAGAAGTCCTAATTCCTCAACATATGAATTGTTGACCAGGTGTAAGTTTTTGTAGCCACAATTTTGTCCTTTTGCTTCATAATTTTGGGTGTCAGTAGGCAGTAGCCATAGAAAATCTGAGCTGCTACCTTCTTTTTTGAAACCAGTTATTCCCTTGCTTTGTGTATGGAGCCAAAGGAACCTCTAATGAGTCTTTGCTCTCTTAAAGAGAAGAAATAATCACTAGATAGTACATTTATTGTTAATATATTAAGCATTTTGGATGCCTTCTTTGTACAACCAATCTTATTTAAATTAAGCATAATTTATTTTTTTTCCTTTTAAGAGTAATCCCCAAAGCATATTTATAATCATTCTCAGTATAAGATGAACTCTTTAGTTGCTAAGGAACATGCTCGCTGGATTTGTTTCCCCACAGATAAGTATTCCTTCCTGAGCTCTTATTCTGTAGCCAAATTGACAGTTAACTAGGGCACGTTCAGTTAAGAGGAGGACATAACACAAAGGACTGAAAAATTCGAACGTCCAGGAAAGTAAACCATGGATTAGAGCTGTCTGTCCACAAGAAGCAGAAGACATAACCAGGTAGAGCTTGCTCTTTAATTTGCTATATAACTTGCCAGTGCAGAAAGTAACTGGGTGGCCCCTTATTCCAAAATTATTAGGACATTTATTTATTTATTTATTTATTTATTTATTTAGAGAGGTTTTTTTTGCTATAGGGCGTGTGCGCTTGCCAGAAAGACAGAGAAAGAAAGAGAGACAGAAAGCGAGAAATCACCCCCAGGGGGATGGCCAGGCCACAATCCCTTCTCCTCCATTCTCTTCTCGGGATCTTGGACATGCACACACACGTGCCCGGCGTGAGTTTAAGCCACCGGGTCCAGGACTCGAACCACGGTCGACTACATGGGATTCCAGTGACATAGCCGTTATGCTAACTGCTGGTCTGAGGACTTTTTTTTTTTTAAAGAGAGAGGTGTTTGCTATAGGGCACGTGTGCTTGCCAGAGAGACAAAAAGCAAAAACTTACAATCCCTTCTCTTCCATTCTCCTCTTGGGATTTTGGGCACTTGTGCATATGCACCTGGCACAAGTTTTAAGCCGCTGGGTCCAGAACTCCAACTCAAACCATGGTCACTGTGTGGGAGTCCAGTGATGTAACCACTATACCACCTGCTGGCCTTTTAACTTTTAAGCCAATGAGAGCACAGCATCAAACCAAATGTAGGTTCTTCAGAGTGTGGGGCCCTGGGAGACTGCACAGGTCTCATGCCCGTGGAGCAGGCCCTGGAACTGGGATCCAATACTATCTCCAGTCCTTAGGTCTCTAATACTACTCATCTGTCAAGCTCTGGGTCAAAGCCTTTTTCTTTTATGAGGCTGAAAAGGGCTGATATCTCCTGGAAGTCAGAATTTTACCCACTAGCAAGAAACAAGGTCTTAGAACATATGAGGAGCTTGTGCAAGACAAACTCATTCTGCCCTTAGCGCCTTCTCCTTCTTCCCAAATCTGGAATTGTCCTCTCTCCAACCCGTTTTCTACCTACTGTTGTACTATATTCAGAAACCTTTCATTTTATGTTGAATTATTATATAATATATATATATTATATAATGTTTATAATATATAATATAATATTTATATATAATATAAATATATATACACACACATATATATACATGTATATATGTGTGTGTGTATATATATATACATACGCCTTATTCTCATTGCAAACTCAACAAAAATCCATGTCCAAGAATGATTATAGCCCATATATACCAAGCACAGTACTTTCCTTTGTGAGTTGGACCTCCCAAAACAATTTTTATATAACTGCTGATGCACTAATTAGTAATGATAAGATTGCCGTGCTGCAGTGGGAAAATAGGGTCCCTGCGTGGGTGCTGAAAGAATTCACCAGGCACAGAACTGTGACCATGAGCCAGAAGTTAGGTTTGTTAGAGCTCAGATAAAAGCGTCTGGGAGAGACCGGGCAAGACCTGGGCGAGTTTGCGGGTTCCAGCCTTTTGGTAGGGAGGGTCTCCTTTTTATGGCCTCAATCTAGGGAGAAGGTAAGGAGAAACTCTGCAAGCTCAGATCTGGGTGCAGGTGCTGGTCTTTTCTCAGGAACGCAGAGCATCTATCAGCTCCAGGTGATTGCTGAGGTGGCGCCAGAGCAGGGTCCAGAACATCTCTTTTCCCCGCTGTAAAAGCTAATCTGGACGGGTGAGCAGATGGTATAGCAGTTATGTCACAGGACTCCCATGTGGCTGAATGCAGTTTGAGTCCTGAACGAAGCGGCTCAAAACGCACACTGAGCACGTGTGCATGCATGGCCAAGATCCTGGGAAGAGTATGAAGTAGAAGTGATTGTGGCCTGGCCTTTCCCCCTGGTGGGGGCGGGGGCATGATTTTTCCCTTTCTCTCTCATTGTCTCTGTCTCTCTTTCTCCTCCCAGCCAGAGCATACTCCCTAAGGCAAAAGCCTCTTAAAAAAAAATAAATGAAAAGCTTATCTGGAGGGGTTCACGGGAGAATGGGGCTTTATCTTGGTCCCTTAATCTGAGCAAGTTTTCTTAAATCTTTGAATAAGGCTTATTTTAGGCCCTCTTTATTAAGCCTTGCTTGCCTATTTTCTTATGAACCCTCCACAAAGAGCAACAAAAATGCATTAGTCTCAGGTCTTAGGGTATTAAGGAATTTTATCAACTCCCGAAAAATTACCTTTTGCCTTATTTTTAAAATGTATTACAACTGAAAGTGATTCATTTTAAGTTTAAATTTTAATCAGATAACACAGCATTTCCCAAATTGTTTTCCATGGGGTTATACTGAGTATTGTGTAGATTACTGTGATCAAATAACATTTGGTGATAACCTCAGAAAAATAATAATAAAGCTAACACTGTATTGATCGTGTTTGTACCATTTTCATGGCAACTGTCTTAGGTAAGATTTGCATGATCGCTCACCTGAGAGATTACACCCACCCCAAATAATCGTCCCCAGGCCTGTCACTTCATTTTAATTCAACTGGACTTATCAATTGCCTACTATAGAGTCGCTGGTGCCTATGTTCTCACCAGAGGAATCTCTCCTTAAACTCCTCTTAAATTAGTGGTTCTCAACCCTGGGTGATTTCCTACTGCAGGGCAGTTGTAGGGTCTCAGATTTGGGGTTGTCATAACCCAGGCAGGAGCTGTAGGCAGAAAGGAATCTAGTGAGCAGAGGCCAAAGGTGTTGCTAATCATGCTACAGTGCATAAGACAGCCCCCACCACAAGGAAACATCTGGTCCCAGAGAGCAACAGGTGTATCGGGCTGTAACACTAACTCCTGAGAACACCCTGGTTTTCCATCTCACGCCTGAGGAATTTCGCATCCTCAGTCATGGCATTCAAAGTCCCTCCCAGTCTGGCATGAGCCTTCCTTTTCAGATCATCTTTTACTATTCCTTCCTATACAAACTACAGCCCAGTCAAACCAGGTGACTCAGCTGTCCCCAAACAGCATTGCGTTTCTCTAAGTTTTTGTCCCATATGCTGCTTCTTTGCAGGTGTATTCCTGTGTTGTTATCTGTAAGAAACCTCTGTTCTACCTCAAATGTCACCTCCTCAAAAATCTTCCTTGATTTTCTCCTATACCCCCAAATGGAAGTGATTTCTCTCTTCTCTGGACCCCCTTAGCTCTTTTTACTTCTCTTATATTTAGCACATGATTGGCAAACCATGTGTATAGATCTTCTAGTAAACACTACATGCTTGAAATATAGAAAGCATCACTAACATCAATAATTTTGTGTGGTGTAAAGCTTTTAATAGATGTGTTTAATAAATACTTGAATGAAATGAACTGTTTTTGAGGAGAGATTTTTTAGGTCAGTCCTTATAATTGATTTTAAGTTCTTCTCTCTATATATATAACAAGAATTGAGTTCCTGCTGTTAGTAATGAAGTGATTTTAAGAACTATCTTCTTCCAGAAAGAAAGTATTTAGACTTAATATAGAATGACCACAACTGAACTATAACAACTAAACTATAATAGGGTATTATATTATTGCAGCTCTTTTGCTACTTAACAAAAGGATTCTGATTTTAAATAGCACCAATTAAATTATGTTTATACTTTTGGCTAAGAAAATTATTAATTTGAGCTAAGTGAATTTGATAGAACTAAAAAAGATCTTGACTTTCTCTTATTTTTAAAGAGTAATGAATGGTCTCACTTCCGATTGGAAATTCAGTAGTAGGGTTGACCATTTAGGAGCTCCAGTTTTGTTCCCTTTAGATCATGGTGACTCTGCCCTCTTCCATCCTTGAACTTTTGGCTAAGCAGCAAGGTTGCATCTGTGGACAGTAGAACCCAGACGAGAGTCATTATCAGATACTCTCCAGGAAAGATCAAGGGAGACTTTCCCCCCAAAGCTTCCAGTAAAGCATTTCTCATCCCATTGACCCCATTTCTTTGATGTTTTTTGTCAATTTTTCTTTTTAAATTATTTGAATTCATTTTTTTATTGCCAGAGCACACATGGGCTCACCATGGAGAGAGAGATTGAGAAAGAGATAGAAAGCACCCACTATTGGTACATGATCAGGCTACAATCCCTTAATCTCCATTGCTCCATCCCATCAGGATTCTGGGTAGACATGCGTGCATGCTCAGCATGTTTCTCAAGCTGCTGGAGCCAAGACTTGAACCACAGTCCACCATGTGGGAACCGGCTTTCTATGCCTAATATGTAACTGCTGTGTTATGGGGACAGGTCAAGTGGTATAATGTGAGGGGTGTGTGTGTGTGTGTGTGTGTATTTACACACCACCATAATAGAAAACTGTTGAGTCAAGCTAAGGAACATATACATCACTTTACTTATTTACTCTTTTTTTTTTTAAGCATGTGGTGTGGTGGTTGACGTAGCTGGACCTTCTATAACTTATAGCTGTGTAAATCTAGTCCTGGACACAGCAGCTTGAAAAACACACCAGGCACATGTGCACACATGCCTGCAATCCCAAATGGTTGGAGAAATGGAGGTGAAGGAATTATGGTATGATCATTCTCCATGGCAGGTGCTTTCTCACTTTCCCTCTCACTTTGTCTTTCCCTGACTAGCATATATGGCCTCCAGCAAAATTAAAAACAAACAAAAGGGGGAGATAGGTACCTCTCAACTCTGTTATCATGCTGTGATCCCTTCCAACCTTGGTCAGCAGGGATCACAGGCGAGGGCATCTAGAATGTATTGGGCAATCTCAGAATAGAACCTGGGCCCCTCCTGTATGACTTCAGAATTATAGAAACTGTTATTGCTACATCACTGTGGCTAGCCTAAAATTTATTCTTTTAGCAATTTTTAAATACACAATATATTATTATTAACTGTTGTTATCACACTGCGCAGTAGGTCACGCAAATGTCTTTCTGTCTAATAGAAGCCTCGTACTCTTTGACCAACATCTCCCCTTTCTCCAGCCTCTGCAAACCTTCAATGTACTCTCTACTTCTGAGGGACTTCCCCCTGCCCTCGAGGGACTTTTTTTTTTCCTTAAGAGAGATTTTTGCCATAGGGCATATGCATTTTCCAGAGAGAGAGAGGAAGAGACAGAGAGACAGAAAGTGAGAAATCACCTCCGGGGGGATTGCTATGCCACAATCCCTTCTTCATTTTCCTCTTGGGATCCTGGGTACACATGCACATGCACCCGGTATGAGTTTCATTTCACTAAGTCCAAGACTCGAACCACAGTCAACTATATGGGTGTCCAATGATGTAACCATTATGCCATCTTCTCATCCCTGAGGGACATTTTTAGATTGTACACTTAGATGAGATTATGCAGTGTTTATTTTCCTATGCTTGGTTTATTTCACTTAGCATAATATTCTCTAGGTTCATCCATATTGTCACAAATAACAAGATTACCACCCCACCCCCATCCCTTATCAGGCTGAATAGTGTTTCAGTATGTATATTTACCACATTTTCTTTATCCAGTCATTCATTGATGGACCCTAAGGTTGATTCCGTATCTTGGCTATTGTGAATAATGCTGCAATGAACACAGAATGTAGATATGGTTTCAATGTACTGATTTCATTTCTTTTTGACATATAACCCAAAGTGGGATTACTGGATTATGTGCGAGTTATATTTTTAATGTTTTTTTTTTTTTGAGAGAGAGATTTTTGTTATTGAGGGTATGCACTTGCTGGAGAGATAAACAGACAGAAAGGAAGATATCACCCCCAAGGGGGATGGCCACACCATAATCCCTTCTCCATCCTCCTCTCGGGATCGTGGGCACACACACTCACACATATGCCCAGTTTGAAGTTTTTAGGTGTCTTGTTTGGTTTTTGTTTTTTGGAGAGATTTTCACTATAGGGCACGTGCACTCTCCAGAAAGACAGAGAGAGACAGAGAACAGAGAGACAGACAGAAAGTGAGAAATCCCCCCCCAGGGGGATGGCCACGCCACAATCCCTTCTCCTCCATTTTCCTCTCAGGATCTTGGGCATGCACGCACACGCACCAGCATGAGTTTAAGCCGCCGGGTCTGGGACTCAAACCGCGGTTGACTACGTGGGAGGCCAGCGACATAGTCATTATGCTAACTGCTGGCCCCCCCAGTTTGAGTTTTAAGTCACCAAGTCCAGGACTCAAACCATCGTCGCCTAAATAGGACTCCAGCCATGTAACCATTATACCATCTGCTGTTCTCCCTATTTTTAATTTTTTAAGGAATTTCTATACTGTTTTCCATAATAGTGGTGCCAATTTAAATCCTCACCAATCCATATCCTTGATAACACTTATGTTTTGTCTTTTTGATAATAGCTATTTGATCAACTGTGAAGTGATATCTCAGTGTGGTTTTAATTTGCATTTCCCTGATGATTAGTGATATGGAACATTTTCCATATGCCTGTTAGCCATTGTATGTCTTCCTTTGAAAAATGTCTATTCATTATTCATGTTCTTGGCATTTTGTTTGTTTGTTTGCTCATATTTTAATCCAGTTCTTTGTTTTCTGAGTACTGAGCTTTCTGAATTTTATATATATATATATATATATATACACACACACACATGCATACATACATATATTTTTATTAAATGCATATATTACATATATGTATATATATATTTTAAAGAATGCATTTTCTCATTTATTATTCTTAAATTTTGTTATAGGTCACATATGCTCACCAGAGAGGTACAGAGATGGGGGGGAGTGAGAAAGCAAGTCACCAGGTTTGAGACTTGAAATGCAGTTGGCCATGTGGGAGTTCAGTGCCTTAACCAGCATGCCACCTGCTGACTCTGCCTGCCCTATATATTTTGAGTGTTAACTCAGATGTATGATTTGAAGTATTTTCTCTCATTCCGTAAGTTGTGTCTTCACTTGGTTGTTTCCTTTGCTGTGCAGCAATTTCATATTTCTATTTTTGCTTTTAGTATCATATCCAAAAAGTCATTACCCAAATAAACATCAAAATGCTTTTTTCCTATGTTTCCTGCTGGAAGTTGTATAGTTTCAGATTTTACATTTAAGTCTTTGGTCCATTTGGAGTTCATATTTGTGTGTGATGTGACATAAGAGTTGAATTCATTTTTCTGCTTGTGAATATCCAGTTTGCCCTGCTCCATTTATTGAATAGACTGTCCTTTCTCTATTGTTCTTGGCACTTTTGTTGAAGATCAATTGACTGTAAATGTGTGGATTTTTTTTCTGGACTCTCTATTCTGTTTTCCATTTGTCTATATGTCTGTTCTTGTGTCAGTTGATGCTATTTTGATTACTATCCCTTTGTAGTAAATTTTGAAAGCAAGTAGTGTGGGATCTCTAGCATTGTTCTTTTACCTTCAAATTGTTTCAGCAATCCATGGTCTTTTGTGGTGCCATATAAATTTTAGGATTTCTTTAAGGAAAGAAAAAATGCAATTCATCTCTAGAAGTTGCTTATTATTATTAGAATCTACTACATTTTTAAAATCAAAAAGTTTTCTTTGTGTCATCTCTATGAATTTATATCTGTTCTAATAACTGCTAAAATGAAAAGTTGATGAACATATTCTTCATGCCTTTTATATATTTAAGAGTTAATAAGCCACTTTTTGATCTTTGCCACTTAGATGTGGTTCATCTTAAATTCTTTCTTTAATTTTTAAATTTATTATTTTGGTTTCTCATTTCTGCTTACTGTTCTAAATTTTTCTACACATTTGACCACAAGGAAGCCAGTAGTGTACACAAATATTCCCCTGCTGGATGCACATCTACTTGTTACAAACAAAACGATCAAGGGATTTGTATAAGCTTTTCAGTCTTCAGTGAGGAAATTATTTCAGCACAGTTTAGAATTTCTGTATTTCCCCTCCCATCTTAGATTACTTGTTTAGACTTTATACAAGTGTGTAAATCTTGATCGAAGAGCACACTGCTGCTGATGGTGCACATGATTTGTTATAACCATGAAATTAAGTCCTGGGCCATGTGCCCAGTATCTAAACTAAATCAAGAAGGGCTTAATTGGAATTAGGCAGTGAGCCTAGGAGAACTTTCCTTTGTTCAGTCTCAAGTTTCTATATCCATTGTATTCATGTTTCATAGAAATCTGTATTTGGGTACCAGAAGAAACAGACTGAATATATGCTTGTTATGGAGATGATTGTCTAGCAGATAAAACTAACCAGGAAAAGATGGGTTCAAGGAGAACATCTGTGCCCAGCACTAAAGCATACTCGATAAACATTGCATAGCAGGATAATTTTCAAGTTACATTTTTTTTTCACATTTACAATATTGGTAAAATTATGTCTAACTCTGAATTATACAGAAAGATGAGAAACTAATTCAGCACATTTGAAATCTTTATTTCAAGTGAGTAAAGCAGGCTATGATAGAGCATGAACCCTATTGATTCAACATATGATAAAATCCTTTTCTTGGTTTGTTTTTCTAGCAAAAGTATTTGTACGTTTTACCTCATTATGACTCTGAATTTTAAAAGGAAGAAGTCTATTAATTTATTTTTATTCTACTTTATTCTCTTACCATAAGGGAAAACTGTATCAAATAATAAGTAGAATATTTGTTTTTTTTTTCTTTTTTTGGAGAGGTTTTTGCTATAGGGCGCGTGTGCTCGCCAGACAGACAGAGAGAGACAGAGAGACAGAAAGCAAGAAATCACCCCCCAGGGGGGATGGCCACACCACAATCCCTTCTCCTCCATTCTCTTCTTGGGATCTTGGGCATGCACGCACACGCACCCGGCGTGAGTTTAAGCCACCGGGTCTGGGACTCGAACCGCGGTTGACTACGTGGGAGTCCAGTGACATAGCCATTATGCTAACTGCTGGTCCCATAAGTAGAATATTCTTAATTCCTTGGTGATTAGTACTGCGTGATAGGTTGCTTTTATTATTTCAGACATTCACTGGAGAGCCCAGTAACCTAATTACTAGTGATTAAATGTGGTGGTATTATAGTAGGATTTTGATAAACAAATTCCCATCACAAAATTTGGGGGATAATAGACAGATATTGAATATGGACAAGTAAATACTGCTTAATTCTACTTGTAATTCTGCTTAAATGTTCAAGTGCTTTGGGATTTGGAGACTTACAGACATGATTCATTTTTAAAAATCAGATATGAATATATGCAATTATTAGGAAATGGAGCCTTGAATATTATAGAACATAGGCAAAATCTTGGCACTGAAATTTGAGACTTATAAGATGAGAACAGCTACCAATCCACTTCAATTCAATTATTTTAATACCACAACAGAGTATAAAATTTCTTCATTCACAGATTTTCTTCTGGAATCCATTGTTTTTATAAGTTTTCATTAAATATGCTTGTTATGTGACTTTCTTCTGCCAAAAGTATCAGTGTGATACACTCTTAACCCAGATCATATAGGGGACAATGAACCAATATTAGTTGCTCTGAATTAATATTGTGTGAACATTTCTCTTTTCACTGTCTTATCATAATTGCTCATCTCTCTGAAGTTGATCCCAATATTTATGTTATCTATCCATTCATTCAACAAATATATATTGATAGTCTACTATGTACAAGATGCTATGGGGGATATGAAGCTACATAAGCAAAATTTATCTTTGCATTTCCAGTGCCTGGAACATTGGAGGGCCTTGGTAAGTGTTATTTAGAGCTGACTCTCTCTTCTTAAAGAATTTGTGTAATTTGCAGCTAGCAGTTGGCATGATGGTTAAGGTGCTGTGTAACTGCAGTTCAAGTCCCAGACCTGGTAGCTTGCTTTCTCACTTCCTATCTCTTTCTTTCTGTCTCTCTCTGGTGAGTGCACATGTCATGTAGCAAATCGTAAGATAATACTAATAATACATAAAATCAAATAATTAAAAAAACAAATTTGTGTGATTCAAGCTGGCCCTATAGCTAAGTAGTTGAGGGAACATACCCCACATGGTCAACCTCAGTTCTAGTCCCCACAGCTTAGAAACATGTTGGGCACATGTGCATGCATGCCCAAGGTCCTGAAGGGAAGGAGAAAAGAAGATGAATTGTAGCATGGATACATTTGAATAGAGAGCACCTTATCTCTCTCTTTCTCTGACAAGCGCATGCATTTTCTGACAATAAAAAAGAAGAAAAGGGAGAAAGAGAAGAAGAATTTGTATAATTCAAACACACTCATCCTGAATCTAAGCCATACAAATAGTCTCCCAACTTGGATTCATATTCTCAGTATTTCTTCAATTCATCCTTGACACTATTGCCAGATTCTTCTAGAGCATAACTCTGATCACGTCATCTCCTGCTCAAAGCCTTAGTGACAGCCTTAGTGGTTTTCTTATGACTTTAGAGTACTATTCATGCTCATTATTCACTCTTTCCAAGCTCTCCACATTTGACCTCAGTTAAGCTTTTCATCCTGATTCCTTATTGCCTTCACATGCCCTACAGTCCAGTGCCAATCGAATTGTTAAAATAGGATAGAGTAGTTTCAGAAGTAGTTCCTGGGACCAGTCGTTAGCCTAATGGCTATGCCGCT